AGGGCCATGAAACAAGAGGAAATTCCTCCCGCACAATTCGCTCAAGATTAAACAATAAGGGGGAATTCGGAGGACACTGTAGCACTGGGCCTACCTCCTCTGTGCTGAGCACTGTAAAATGGGATATCATCATTATTAGCCAAAGCTATGGGGAGAAGAGAGAACTGTCGGGGGACCTTACACATGCTGTTGCGGTTTCTACTTGCACTCAATATCCACACAAGAAGGCAAACAACGCGGTTTAGACCTTTTMTGTGTTCACATGTCCTGAACTCACGGCAGGGATGCTCATTTCATGAGACACAGCTTCTGTTCCATGTTTGAGGTTTCTGGGTCTCTGTGCAGTGCTAGTGTTCTGGTTTATGACCCTCYGAGAGAACCTGCCTCCTCTTATAGAACAGCCCCTGCACATGGTATTTACTCAGTTTATCAGTTTTCCCTGTGTGGCTGATAAGGAGAGGAACCATAGAATAATTGATCCTTAGTATGTAATAATTTGTCTGTGACATGAGGTGGGTTTTGTTTTCATTTTCTGACATTCACTTTGCTTTGAAATGCCTGGATACTGTTTTCTGTGCCTACAGTTACAGAAATCAGGTGTGCAAGCAGGTATTCCCACTTGTGAAACAGAGACTGTTACTCTATCACTGTTTTACTTTTCCTTTTATTGTTTTTTCTTTTGTCCCCTCTGCTCTCCCTGCTTTAGCTTTGTCTGAGCAAATGATACCACCCCATTCTGACTGGAGTCAGTTACGTTGCCAGCATGGAAACAGCACCTTCTTTAACTGGTGTGGTTTAATTATGGGACAGTACTTGTGYAGGAGTATGTTGAATTTCTTTGTCCCCTAAAGGGAATAAAAGAGGCTGAGATATGGCATGGTATGTGTAGCTAATAGAGTTTTTATCTTTTACCCTGTGCTGTGCTGGTATTTTTTTTTCTTACGAGAATTGTTTGTGTAAGAGCAGCCACTGGGTATCCTTTTTAGCACATCTTGTATCTTCTAAGAGTCTTGTAGACTCCTGTCTACATGTGTGAAACCCTTATGTCTGACCAGCTAAATCCACAGAATACAGGAGTAAATTCTGGCCTTGGTTTAGCCTCAGATGTTTGGGGTTGGACTCTTCTCAGCTCTCTGCAATCTTCTAAAAATCAGGTATTTAGTCCAAGCCAGATGTGCAGGTTYTCAGAACTGTTACAAGAAAGACAAGAGCCTCCCCTTAGGGTGATATCTTCTTCTGTGATAGGTGAGTGAGGCGATCCTTTTAGTGACTGAAGGAGTCTAGGCTAATCTTTGGGTGGCTGAAATCAGAGAATTGTCTGTTTTGATACAAAATGAGAGGGGAAGGACTGAAAAGGGAAAAAAGGGATGTGTTGTGATCCAGTCTGTGAGCTTGCTGCATTATCTGAGATATGGTATTTATGGTAGGTGTCTTGAAGTTCTGGGGCTGCTAAAATCATCTATAATATTCGTTCTTTGGGGCAGTGCAAATGTGTAATATGGAAACGGTTAGTATGATTTGTTTTCCTCTAGGTTCTGTCATRTAATGTTAAAAGATCATAATCTGACAACTCGACAGCCATTCCACCAACTTCTGCAAAAGAAACCCTCTCTTCCACCTACAGTGTGGCATCATGCAGGTAAATACCAGTTGAAAATTAATGAATGAGCATGTTGTRGGTTTTTATGTCCCATGGTAATGCTGAYAGTTTGCTGTTCATTCTCAGTGGTGACAATTCCTGGGTGGGTTCTAATGCAGTGCTGGTGCATCTGGACATCTGGGGCTTGGGAGGTTGTGGAGGCTCACTGTGTGCTGATGAAAYSTGTTTTTCTGTATCATTCAGGTGCCAAGACTCTGTTAGTGCAAAATATTATTTGGGCTTTGCTGCACTTCTATCTTGGTATAAATTCATTTCTATCTTGGAAAATGTGTTGATTGAGAGACACTTTGTGGTGCCTTCTGTCCTGCTTCAGCTGCTGGCTCTGCCAGGTGATGTTGCTGATCATCCAGGTAGAGCCCAGGAAGGCTGCAAGTGAAGCTGTTTATTATCAGAGCTGCAATATTTTCTCTTTTTAATTTTCTCCTTCTTGAACATGTAYCCGTGAGTGGTGCATTAACAGGATTCTCCATTAAATTATCCATAATTCGGTGTTACCCTGAATTCGAGGTTGTTTGCTGTGCCACGTGTTTGGTAGGCTGCAATGCTCAGGAAAGAAAGAAAAATATGAAAAACTTGTGAAACTTGGACCACAGAAACTTYGTGCTTTTTCAGCTGCCTGAGGGATTTAGCAACTGCCCCTCAATGCTGGAGCAGAAAGAGCCCTAAGACAGAAAGATTTGGCAGATGCTGTTGCATGGAATTAGTCACAGATGGAAATGTTGTTTAAATAAGTCTACTCAGGCGGAAGTTCCTTTTTAATTTTAATTTCACAGTCCAGTCYTAGGTGGTCCAGCACTGTTTTTTGTATTTCAGTTCTAATCAACAGGCAGACTGATGARTAGACATAGTGTTTTACCTGTTTCTGCACATCCTGCTGTAGTCTGATTTGTTCCTCTCACCTGGAGCAGAGGACAGGCAGGTACTCCCAGTGTTCTGTAGGGGCTCCAAAGAACAGGTACAGATACTCATGTCAGAGGTGAACAAAGCCAGTTACTGACTTCAAAATAATAAATCCCAAGGAGTTACTCGCAACTGGGCAAGGTCAATTCATGATTGAAAATTCTGGTCTTAGGAAAGCAGATCTTCAGCTGCAGAGGGCACCTGAAATAGAGAGTGCCCACCTGGACACTGTTGTGAGAGCTGATCCAGTTGTTTGTGATTCTGAGTGTTGGGTGAGGAGTGTCCAACAGCTGTTAGTGACCCACTGCTTCCAAAAAGCAGGCAGAGTGTACTCACACATCCCATCCAGTTGTGGGTTCTGTGGAGATTGGACTGTTAGGCTGGATGGTATTTAAATGCCACCTGGATCTGGGAGATAAGTAATTTTGCCATCCCCATGGATAACCTGCTTGCTTGCTCTATCAGAATATTCTTTGCATGTTAAAATGAAATGTTTCCATCCTAAGTTKGGGGTTTTTTTCCCCTTTAAAAACCACAAGCTGTTGTGTGTGTGCATATTTGCCACTGTCTGTGTTCAAATCAAAGGTCTTGTCACCATGACAGACGCAAACAGCAACAATTGGTAATTTATGAACAGTGTGATTCGTCATCTTATGCCAGGATGTCATGAGCAAAATGCCAGTTTACAAAAATTAAAATGTTAGCTCTTTTTGCTGCTTTAAGCACCCTCCCCTCTCTGGTGCATGTTTTTTTTTGTTTGTTTTTTTGTTTTTTTTTTTTTGTTTCTGAAGTATAATGTATTTTTAAATATTAATTCCCAGAGATTTTGGGGTTTAAAATACTTTTTTTTTTCTTTCCTTCATTTCTGTATTTCACTGTGCTGTTGGATGTGCAGGGAGTTAGGAAGGAGAGCCAGAAGATGAAAGACTGTCCCTAATGGATGTTCACTGGGACATTAGGCATGTGCTATATGGAGGAAAATTACAGTCAAATGTACACCATTAAACRGARAGTATTAAATTCTAGTCAAAATCASGGTTTTTTACACTCTTCCAGTGAAAGACCAGCYCATGACACAAAAGGAAATTCAGTAGAAATGGATCTTATAATATCTTGACTAGGGAATTGTAAATAATTTTATTTTAAATTGCTTGGTCATTTCAGTTTCTGGAGAATAAGTAATGGCTTACAATAATTTTTCACCCTGTGGAAAATGTAAGCAGGCTCTGCGTCTATGTAACTGTCATTACACTTGTTTTTCTTTTTTACAGAGATGAAAAATGAGATAAAAATCAACCCCTGTAAATCATGTATCTGCAAGTGGGTTAGCAAAACTGATTATGCTTTGAACAGGAAGTGGTAATGCTGGAAGAGGGGTTAAATGGCATTCACAAATGCTCATAAAACAAAAAAAGCAAACACAGTGGAGACCTGAAGAGTGCAGCTCTTTGCCCTCAGTGGAAAGAGAGGCTGCCTCTGGTCTCATGCARCTTGATGCTGTTGCAGCTCAATGCTTTTTAGTAAATAAAAGTTAGAAAAAGAAAGCAAGACAAGGTTCCTTTATCTTTCTCTCTGCTGTGAGATGATGTGCCCGTGTTTACCATGTTCCTGTGGCTCTGGAGGCCCTCATGGAGCCCCAGGTGTTGTGTTTTTGAAGCCTTATGGCTGCCTGGGCTGCAGTTTTCTCAAGCACAGGGATCACCCTGGGCTTGCAGAGTAATCAGGATTTGACTTTCATTTAAGCTCCTTAGGTTTGATTATATTACTTTTGTTTTGGTTTTTTTTTTCCTTTCCAGTAAGGGGCATGTTTATTCAAACTCAGGACACACCAAATCCAAATAGCTTGAAGTTTATTCCAGGAAGGGAAGTGCTGGAGTCGAGGACTATGGAGTTTGCCACACCAGCTGCAGCACATTGCTCACCTTTAGCAAGGTATTACTAAACACATCATAATTGGTTTGGGGGGTTGGTATGGGCTCTGTGTCTATAACTGATGTTTGTAAGCACAACTTTGGATCATTCTGCTCCTCCTTAGGAGCAGCTTGCTTGGATTTGASATTTAATGCTGCCTTGGATGGAAGCTGGGAATGTTGTTGCTGAGCTGTTTGTCTGTACTCCCCAGGGCACTGTCATGGCAGAAGACACCATGGTCTAGTTCATGCAGTTGGATTGAGAGGGTCACAAATCAGTATTTGATAGCAGCTGCTGCATTATCAGCGAGACCTCTGGCCCTGATTGCTCAGATTTGTTCCCATCGAAACACTTTTCATTCAAATAGTTACTTGGAAATCATGTAACTTTTCTGAATTGTGATACAGGCAGTRAATAGCCCCAAATTACTSTGAAATAAATGTRGTAGCTCACTTTGGCAGGTATTGGAGCTACCCTGAACTTCAAACCATTGGATTTTTCCTTCACTGAAGGTTTGTGCTTCACTTGAAAATAGACCACTCTTTTGGGCTGGTTCTGTAACAGGTCTTGGGAGTGCAGCTTTTAGTAACCTGTAACAGGTCTTGGGAGTGCAGCTTTCAGTAACCAAATGCACAATTTGGAGTAAGAATCAATTCATACTGTCTTGGCACAGAAGGGGTTTGGAGCACTGTGACAAGTCTCAGGGAATATTTGGTGGCACCCACTTTGCATCAGTGTCATTGCTTTCTCATCAGTCTTTGAAGAGAAACTTTGTGTTTCTTTTGTGGAAGGGCTTCATGCTGGGGGTGAGACTCAGAGGAATGCTGCAGTAAGTTACCTCTGAGATGCCAGGCAAAGGTATCTTTGTATACCTTGGAAGAATTCTGTGCAAAAGCAGGAGCTGTTGGCCATGGTATTCCCTCCAGGAGCTGTGGAGTTATCAAACACACAGTTCTGATATTTCCAAAAGCCTCTTGCAGAGTTATTTGAGAGTAAACAGGATCTTTGCGAGCAGAGTTCCGTGACTTGCAGCAATAAATCCATTGTGAAAGGTTTCTGAGAACATCACAACGTGTTAGCAGAGTGCTGAAGCTGTAGGATCTCATTGTGCCAAAGTGCATCAGATTGCAGAGTGAAATCGACTGTGAGAACGTGGCTTTTTGTTGTCATATATGTGCAAATAGACATTTTCATCCAAGATGATGTATGTGCTGGAATGTGTGCAGTGCACAGTGTCTTGGCTGTGTGTATTGTGCAGGTTTATGGGAGAAACTCTCTGCTCTGTATGTCATTAAATCCAGATTCTGGTTTTTGTAAATGAAATGACTGTTTTAAAAGGGAATATTAATTTTCCAAAGAATTTACAAAAGTTCACTGGAGGAGAGGGAGGAAAGAGAATGATTTAATTTTTTTTAGATGGTTTGGTGCACTTGCATAATTCCATGGTTTAAGTAATTTCAAAATCCAGTTGATTTAGTGATGTAAACAGCCAGTGCACATAAAATTGTTTCATTTCTTTAAAGTGGGTATTGTGAAATCACTGATCATTTTCCATTACACAAACTTTTGTGGTAAGATTTCTAATTCTAATTCCTTCATTCTCTGCATTTTTTATGTTTTCCCATCTTTCAGGAGGACATTTTTTTCCCTCTGTAATTACAAAAAACACTCTTACAGTCTTACACTGCGTTTACCTAAGTGTATAATATTTTTAACTTTTTTTTTCTGTAAATTAAATTGTTGGGTTTTCATTAACCATTTATGCAAATTTGGTTTTATATTCTCATTCACTTTTTTATACTTATGACATTGTCCAAAATATGCTCTTTCCTGTCACATAAATTCTTCTGCTGCTTTGGGGGTGTGCTTGTTTATGACCTGGGTGTGGGTGCTGTACGGSACCACCTCAAGCAATTCAGTGTGAGTCTCATGCTGTTACTAAATTTTCACATTCTTCATGTGCTATGCAAATGAGTGTAAATACTGAAGATGCCTCACAAGGTGAGTGGTGTCAAAGCCTTGTGGGCTGCTGGACACAAACCCTTTTATTTCATGGCAGCAGAGTTGAAGGCAGCTTTTAGGGAGCTCAGTAACTTCAAAGAACTTTGAGAAACTTGTACTTGCACTAGTCCTACCTTTAACAATAGGTATCTCCTGGTTTTGGGCCTAAMAAATACTTATTGATATACAGAATATAATTTTGCCTCCAAAGAACTGAGAGAAACTCTTTGGAAAGCCGTGTAAAGTGTGTTCAGTTTTCCTCTATTTCACAGCAGGATCTCTGGGTTCTTCCTCAGCTATGGGTGAGATACTGAGTTCTCTTAGTGGTTCTGGGTTTAGTGCTTATTTTTGTCTGGGAGTGCATTCTAGAACTTTTTCTGTGACATACTTGATGTGTTTTTACCTTTTTCATTTTCTTTTTTTTTAAATTCTGTTTCCTTAACAGACAGTTATTCAGGATTGAAGGAGTTAAAAGTGTTTTCTTTGGGCCAGACTTCATCACAATCACCAAGGTAAGCAAGAGATTCAGCTCTACTAAAAGATGAGCTACCTGGAAATGGCCATAGAGCAGATCCAGCCAGGCTCTTGGACAGGTATGCTGAAAGTTCCAGGCACAAGTGTCCACAAGTGACTAAAGGGAGTTGCCTTTAATATAGAAGAAAATAAATAATTKCAGTGTGTGGCTAAGCACTGGTGTAGGCTTCCCAGTGAAGTTGTAGGTTTTTTGATCTTGGAAATGTTCAGCACTGGGCTGGCTGAGGCCCTGTGCATGTGGTCAGCTCAGARGTTGGCTCTGTGTGGAGCAGGATTTGGGCTGGAGGAGCTGTGGACACTTGCCAGAGTTGGTGTGGGACCAGCATGGGGTGTGTTTGCTCAAGGTGTGGTGCTCGTGGCACCGGAGATAAGGGGTGACGTAGGAGCTGGGCAGGCTCTCAYGTGGGAAGAGTACAGGGCAATTCAGGGAATGATGATTTGGTAAATTGATAAACTTGAGTCTCTGAAACAGTTGGTAAAAATATGTGTCAAATAATAATGAGTTTTGGAGAATTTTACACCTTTTTTGCTAATATTTTAAAAGCACTTGCTGGGCTTRTGAACAAGGAAATCTTTATTTTGACTGTTACAAAGTTAGTTTTACTAAACTTCTTTGTAGAGTTGGACTTTACAGAACTATGAAGCCCAATCCACGCATCAAATGTGAGAGCTCATGATCATATTTTTAACATAAGAATCTCTGTGTAACTTAGCAGCAGCAGGCAGGTACCCTTTTCTTTTTCATTCCCTTTTTTTCACCCCCCCCCTTCTGATTCTCACAGGAGAGTGAAGACCTGGATTGGAACTTACTGAAACCAGATATTTATGCAACTATAATGGATTTCTTTGCCTCTGGCTTGCCTGTAGTTACTGATGAGGCACCTAGGACAGATACAGGTAAATCAAATCTTCAGGGAGAGGCCAAGGTCTACCTTTGGGTCTACCTTTTGGGTTTAGCTTTTTGTTTTTAGCTTTTTACTGATGAGACACCTAGGACAGATACAGGTAAGTCAAATCTTCAGGGAGAGGCCAAGGTTTACATTTGGGTTTAGCTTTTGTGGCATCCAGAAGAGCTTCTGCTCCTCCCTCAGAAAAGCATGTAAGAAAATTTGAATTTTAATTTGAAACCTGTTAAAATGAATGCAGGCAGGAATTTGCAGCCTGCATGTGTTCTGGCTGTAGGAGCTGCTTACCCAGGAACACAGAGCAGGTTTTTGTGTGGGGGTGGAACATCCCAGGCCATGCTGAGCTGGGAGCTCTGGCAGGGTGGGCCCTTGGAGAGGGAAATGTTTTTGCAAGTTGACTTTAGAAAGCTCTGGGGTACTGCTGCATCTTCTTTTTGTATGGGCACCTAAAAAGGGCTTTATTTCTCTCCTTAAATCAGAAAAGGACTCCTGAGGCTTAATGGCAATGCCTTAATGATAGGTTTATGGTCTTAAATGAAGAAAAAAATAGTAAGAGGTCTTTTGCAAACTGTAGTAGAAAGTAACAGGCTAATTTACACTTTAACTCAAGGGCAGTATTTTGCCTTTTATTTTCTCAMTTGCAGCTTACCAACTTCCAGTTTTTCCAGGGCATTAAGGAAAATTTGGACTACTAAATTTCTCTCAGCTCTGTTATGTCAGAATTTAAATTTAATATTAACATAGACTTTATTTTATTGGGAAAAGTTCTCTTTAAAAATGCTTCTGTGAGACTGAGCTTAGAAAGTATAAATTTAATATTAACATAGACTTTATTTTATTGGGAAAAGTTCTCTTTAAAAATGCTTCTGTGAGACTGAGCTTAGAAAGTAATCCAGAGCTGCTAAACCTGGAAGTGTGCATAGTTCTCCTGCTGAATTTTTTAGGTTGATAAAATCTTCATTCTAAAGACCCTTTAACCCCTGCATCCCTATGGAATGTTAYTTGTTGCTTCCTTTAAAAGGTGGCACTGCTGCTGTCTGTTAAGGCCTTTGCCTGCAGATAATTCTGAACCAACACTGGGTTTTGCCAGTGAAAGCTTCATAATGCAGGAAAAAAGCACTTATGCTGAATTAAGATTTTTGCCTCTTGGTTTCAGTCATCACAGCAGTGTTTTCATGCTGTTTCATTCTTCCACTGGGATATTCAGGGTTAGCAATCATACTGAAATTCTCTCAGTGTTCTGACTTGCACATTTTTCTTTTCCCAAGCTGCTTCAGAAGAAGATGATGAAGTTGTGCTGATGATTAAAGAGCTCCTGGATACGAGAATCAGGTGAACAGGGAACATTGCTACTGGATGAGCCAGTTAGTCTTGGGGTTTGGGTTTGTGCGTTTTCCTTTGGGAATGTGTGATTTCATGGTTCAGCATCTGATGTGCAGAACTGGCAGAGCTGGGTATGCTGTTCAGTTGAAAACTCTACCTCTGGTTTTCCTGTTGAAGCTCCTGTGCTGAGCAGAGTCCTCCTTGCTGAGTGACTTCAGAACAGGGCCTGGGCTTGCTCTCCACAGTGCCTTTGGCAGGTCCAGGGGCTTTAACCTGGCTGCTTTTAAGTGGTGGAAAGAGAACAAGCTTTGCTTCTACAGGCACTTTTTTCTCTCTCTCTATTAATGCCTGTCTTAATTGTTCTTGCCCTTCCCTTTTTCAAAGTAGTTTATACTCCAAAGGAAAATTTCCTAGTGGGTTTCCCATGGAAATCCTGGGCTTCAACGGATTTTGTGCTTCCATTCTTTTGTGATTTTGTGGTGCTTTAACACAGCTTGAATTTAGAAACTGGTGGTAACTAATGAAGTCTCAGGAGTGGCTGTGGATTGTGTTGTTTACCTGAAGAGTATTTGTGTGCTCATTAACTGCCTTCCAAAGCGAACTGAAAGCAGTAAGCAACTTGACATTTGAGATGCAGGKGAAGATGTGTGATGTGTTTGTGATATCTGATGGTGACATCTTCCCCAGCTCACAAACTGCRAGACCAGAAACTTGTTTGTGGGTCAAAATCATAGAGGTTATGATGAATTTGGGCCCTTTTATTTTTTTTTAGATGCTGTATTTGAAGTGATATCACTTAAAAAATGTTTATCTTAGAGCTGACACRTGGTGCTGGTTAATTTAACTGAAAAAGGAAGAAAAGTAGGAATCAGCTGGAACATTTTTCCCCAACATTTGTATTAAGTGTTGAAACCAGAAGCCACATATACAYGTGTTGTATAAAGTTGTGGCAATAATGTTCAGGAAGCCCTGCTCCTACTGGGCACCTGGTTTAAGCTCCCTGGGGTGTCAGTCATTGATTTCCCAGGGGCCTTTTGTAACAGGTACAGAGTTTCTGCCCAAAATTTTGTTTTTCCCCACTTTTTAATTTCTTTGATTTCTTCCCCCCTGTACCCATCAGTGGACTAAGAAGCTGATGATGAGAATATGAGCAGTGGTGTGTCTTCCTTCATTTTATAGCAGGGTAGTTCCCAGAAGTTACACATAAACCAGGGTACACATAAAGCATTTATTGTTCAGTAAATCAAAAATAAATGCAGAGAAGTTGTCAGAAGGTGCAGGGTAGAGGGAACATAGATCTGAAAGGTCATGCAGTGTATTAAAAAGTTAATTCAAGTAAGAAAAAATGGAATTTTAAATCATGATCTTTGGCTTTCTGGAATGGAGATAATGTGGTGTGGTGAGTTAATACATGGGTCAGGTTCACAGATTTTTCCATTAGGAGTGTAGTTCTCAGAGAGTTATTTTGGAAATCAGTATAAAGAGCTTCTGTTAGAGTAACTTAATGGTTTTAACTTGGTCTGGAAAAATGTTGCTATGGGGACAGAGCTACAATGTTGGGCATTTGTGGCTGGCAGAGGGAGAGCAGGCTGCAGAAATGCCCGTGGCACTGGGGTGAGCTTATCAGGAGCTGGTTCCTTTACCCCTGAGCAGTATTAAGCTTTTATAGTTGGAGCTATTTTCTCTCCTGCRTAAATTGTGGAGAACTGCATATTTATTTATGGAAGCAGGACTTCTTATCACAGGTGGCAGCTGCACTGCATCCTATGGTAGGACACACCCCTGTTTGCATTGGCAATAACTAAGACAATTCTTGCATKTGGTGAAGGTCTCAAGGCAAACCAGGGTGTTTGCATAGACAAGATCAAGCCCTGCTCCAGGGTGTTTGCTCTCTACCCTAAAATTTCAGTGATTCCTTCATACACTGCTACATTCATTGCAAAAATGTTTTGCCCRCTGTTTTACAGAAAACAGTTCAGTCTSTGTTAGATAGTCCAGCAAAGTAGGAGTTGTTGAAAATGTGAACCAGGTGGTTGTAAAGAAATAGTGACTAAATCCCTCTATCTTGACAGTTTGTGTGAGTATTAAATGTTGCTTTACTAAGGATTTCTGGAAGGATCATGTTTCAGCTCTACTCGCTTCACGTTGAGTATTGTGTTCCATCAGGCCAACAGTGCAAGAAGATGGTGGTGATGTTATTTACAAAGGCTTTGAAGATGGGATTGTGCAGCTGAAGCTGCAGGGTGCGTGCACCAGCTGTCCCAGTTCCATCATCACCCTGAAGAACGGGATACAGAACATGCTCCAGTTCTACATCCCTGAGGTTGAAGGTGTGGAACAGGTGGGTTGGGGAGAGATTGTTTTCMTTTCAGTGGAAAAAGCTCTTTGTCCTTTTCCAGTGAGAACAGGTTGGCAATTTAGGGAAGAAGAGGGATGTGTAAATGCATGTTTTCCAAGTCAGAAGCTGTGTCCTGGCATAAGATACAGAGCTCTGCAAGGTCCTGTAGCAGCCCCTAGGCTGGGGCTGCCTGCCTGGGGAGCAGTGGTGCAGCCCTGGCTGCTGTGACTGCTGGGCTGTGCTCAGCAGCAGCAGCAGTGGCTCTGGAGCACAGGAGGCTGCTGGTGTTGGCAGCAGGTGAGAGAGCTGACCCCTTGCTGGACTTGCCCCAGTGTGCCACATCCCTCCTCTGCTGAGGAGCCCAGAGCTGGACASTGTTTGCTGTTACCTCTGTGCTKTGGTGACTAGATGTGATGAAAASCAACGAGCTTTTGTCCCCTAAAATGCAGTTTCTTTGGCTTTCTCATTAAATATCTGATCTCTGGAGCGATTATTTTCATGGCCTTTGTGGTAACTTGACCAGCTCCTATTATTAAAGCTCATTTCCTTCTTTGGCTTGCCAGTTTTCTTGCCTTCCTCATGAGCCCTTTGTCATTCAGCAGTGTGGAATAACTGCTGTTCTTGGGTCCACCAGGGACTTAATGTAATAAATCCTTCAGGACTGAGAGCTTAAACTGTTTATCTAAACTACTTCTGGATTTGATTTCAGGTTGTTGACGACGATGATGACGTGAAGAAAGAAATAAATTCTACTTGAGCTTCGTCATGTGTGGCCAAATATGCATTTGCCTCCTGGTGTATGTAAACCATCTTTGTGATGAGGAACAACCAAATCAGCCTTGTCAGAAAAATAGTTGTACTTACTGTGAGAATGTACCATCAGCTTAAGCAGTTCGTCCACTAATTTATTAAATGCCCTATATTACAAAAAAAAATTTTCCTCTACTTTGTGGTATGTCTTTAGAGAAAAATGGTGGGCATGGGGAACAGTGGCATATTTCTGCATTGTTTTTTTTCATACAGAAACTTCARTATTAAAAAAATAGAAGTTTCTTGGTTTTGTGCAATAGCAATATTAAATGTGTATTCCCCCACTTGTGGGACTGGCAGGACTCTCTGCCCTTGCTCTTTAAGTGGGAGCTTTAGGAATGTTAATTTTATCAAGTCTTGTTAAAAAGCTGCTGATTCCTGTCCAATTTTTGTGTTTGAAAAATAACCTCTAACATCAACTGCTCATTTTGGAGGATGTAACATTGCCATGGCTGATGCAAAGTTCCCTGCCTGCTCATTACCACTGTACAAACAATAGCAGCCAAAACAGTTGTGAGTTGTTATAAAAACCATACTTTTTAAGTTAAATATTAAAAAACAATGATCCTTATCAACTTCAGTAAGTAGAGAGTGTAATTAACTCATTTAGAAGTAAAATTGTTCAGCCACAATTGGTGATCTGTTTAAATGCAGCGGCTGATTTCTCCCTGTAACTCTCCACGTCAGGAGGAAGGTGCAGTGCTGGAGGAATTTCTGTGTGGGATGGCAGAGGGAAGGAGGGACYGTGTTTGCTCCTGCTGTATCCTGTTTGCTCTCCAGCCATGCTGGGAGCACAGCTGGGTGTACCTTGGCTGCCTGTGCAGGGGGACGTGGCAGAGCAGGGCTCCTTCCCATCCTGCAGACTGGGGGTGTTGCCTTGAAAGGCCAGTTTTTAATAATGACACAGACACGGTTAAGGGGATAAAAAGGGTTTTACCTCAGTATTTGGGATCTCAGGTGCACAACTTGATGGCAGAATGCACACCCGTGTACAGCACGGGTACAAGTTTTATAAGTTTCAGGAATTAGCATACCTATCTAGGATTCCCCAATAMGAAACTTAACAAATGCAGTAATGTCCCCCTATTCTAATGAATCCCCCCGAGATGAGGCCAGAGCCCAGTTTACACAAGATGTTCTGGACAGAAGGCTTCACCCAAGGCTGGAGCTCGGGTTTAAGATAGCACAGGGTACACTGAGCCCTTCCTCAGGATGTTTGGTCTCTCTGCCCAGCAGAACTCCTAAACTAAGCTGGAATATCAGGCTTCAGGAATTACAAGCATGTGGGCTAAGGGGAGCAGGGGAATGCATAGAGGGTACAGAAAGCGTAAAAAGGAAAAGCAAAAATCATCAGGCATCAGGGAGAGAAGTATTTCTTGTTCTGACGTTGAAATACATAAATGGGGCTTTACAAGATGYTGTGTTTACTTTTGTGTGTAGGAATGATTTCTTCCTGGCACCTGGCTTTAGCCARAGTTGGCTTTGTGACTGGGAATTCTGTTCCTTCTTTGTGCAGCCACCATGGAGCTGAGTTTGTGGTCCTTACTTGGCTTATGATTGGATTTTCTGTGGGCAAGGACTTGAACACCTCTGGTATGCTCCCCTCTTTCATTCCTTGCCGGTGTAATTATTCCAGAGTCCCTAAACAGGATCAATTCAGTTGGTGGAGAATCATTTCTGTAGCACCAAATCAGCATGTGGTAGCTATAAACTTCCTATTACTTGTTAGAAGTTTGAAAAGAGTTATTTTAGCAAAATTTCTYCAGCTTTCATGGAGACTAATAACCCACAGTTGTTTAAATTACCCTCTCAGGATCTGGAAATTGGTGTGAAATTGCCATGTTTTCATTTACCCTCTGACAAAGAACGCAGTGCCTGATCTTATAAGTGTATTGGTGACAAAATACCCCTTGAGACTGGCCCACACTACCCAAAAGAGAGCTTGTGCAAACGTCATTGTCATGTTCTCCATCAGCAAACCATAAAATGACGAGTCATGGTTCTGGTTTTTCAAAACCAGAGCTTTTTAAGACTGATTTCTCCATTTAATGCACTATTGAGGCCAAAACCTGAATAGCAAAATAGTTTTTTTTGTGTGGTAAATAAAATGTACCTATKAAAGATATGGTTGTTACTCTTCAGTTAAGCCATGTAATCTCTTCAGGTACTTCAAGGATCCACTTCTGTTGCTTTGTATTTCCCATCTTGTTTTTGATGGGGTTTCCATTTGTACRGATAGAACCAAATAAAGCCTGTGTGTACTCGAGGGGAAGATGAGCATCCTGTAATCTTGAGCCTGGAGATGCCTTCCCTGTTCAGCAGGGATGGGCTGTTGCCACTGCTCTGTGTTTAGAGAGGGCTCTTCAGGTGGGGCTGGGAAGCCCTTCAGGTCAGCAAGGTGTTTTGGCTGAAGTTTGTTACAAATTGCASTTAGTCACTATATTTACAGGAATAACAGCTGCTTGAAATTATTCTAGTATGTTTTTAAAGAAAAAAGGCACTGTGGTATTTTGGAGTCTGCCAGAGAAGCATTTTGTTTTCACCCATTCAGAWGAAACACAAAATCCATGTTTCCTAGGCACTCTTCTAGCACTCCCTTACAGGAAACCTTGATTACAGCTATCTAAACTCTTGAAAGTGTTCWCAGGTGGGCACATGGTTTTGGTCAGGATGTGACTCATCCTGTGTTTCAGGASGAATTGTCCTGTTGGTGTCTGGGGAAGCCCTGCTCCTGCCCAGCCTGGGCTGAGAGGAGTTTGCAGCAGGTACCTGAGAGTGGCAGCAGGAGGAAATCCTGACGTTACCTGATGTAAATCTGCAAAATGCGTTAAATAAGGGATCACAAAACCAAGTCTTTTCCAGGAGGTGGTAGTTTGCAATCTGCCTGAAATTCAGGTATTCAGCCAGAACTTCTATTTGTGAAGCACGTTGAGCAAAGAAAAGGAAGAAACGGGTATTTTTTTTTCCCAACCAGAATATTTTTTCCCAACGAYCCCCTTTTGTTAATTTTAAAAGGCTCAAGTGTGAGACAGAGTTTGGGAAACTGTTCTCACATTTTTCCATRTGGTAGTGAGTTGCACTGTACATCCACATGAACTATTACTTGTTGGTAACACTGTGTCTTGGATGTACAGCAAACCTCAGGATAAAGTTAGATGCTGGGAATATTGGCTTTTATGGGGAAAAAATAAAATAGCCACTTCATAGTAAAACCTGGAGCTAGATTTCTGTATGTGTAGAGTGCTGAGGAATTGGCACCAGGTGAGTTCATATGGATGAGGTAGCCTTAGTTTGAGGGATTTGTTTTTATAAGGTCAAGTGTGGTATAAGGTTAAGTGGTAAAGTTGGGTGTTTGCTGTGCTGCCATGAGCTGTGTGGGGGGCAGTCCTTCTTTTACACAGTGTTGTGGCCTTTCCGTTTGTCTTGAGATAATGCTATGGATTATTTCAGGCTTGTAATGGATCCATTAAGAAATACTATTAGTGGTAAGATTTCATGGACTGGGAATGTGTCAGGGGAGGGCAGGAGTACCTGGTGCTGCAGCAGAGCAGTGTTGAGTGCTGAGGGGAACAGTGGTGCTGCACCAGCCTGCAGGRTGTGCATTCATGCCCATCACACCTTTCCAGGGCTTTGTGCTTCCCTTCTCATCTGGGATATAAGCTCCCACGGCAGCGAGGCACCTTCTTACGGGAGGATGGGGAAATGGAAGAAAAATCAGCGTGTGAAGTCAGCCCTTCTGCAGCTTCACAAATGAGCAGGAGGAGATAAAGCCCTGTGAGCAGGATGGGATCCAGTCCCGGGAGCGGGGTGCCTGCCTTGGCTTGTCCCAGTGTGCCCTCCCTGTGCATCAAAAGCCGGGAGGTGGCTGTGTGCTRCTGCAGGCTTCTAAAGTTTCTGAGATCGGTGACCTTCTCACTGCTCTGTGTTCAGCCAGGTTCTGGCAGCAAGTTCAAAATACGCCCTGTCCCGGTTCTTTTGTGTCCTGACGTTGTGGCTTGTTTCCTGGGCTTTTGAAGGAAATATTTCTTTATTGACTTTTTAGTGTAATATTGAATGAATTGAATGAATGAATGGCATTTTTCTTAAGGCATTGCTCTCTTGTAGCCTTAGGCTTTTAATAAGTTTTCAAGCAGGGTTTGTTTGTGGTAGTTGCAGACAGCATCATTAAGCTCTCCAGCTGCACGGATGTCACTCCTTGGTCAGTTATGCTTGTCCCAGTTTGCTYTGGAGATTCATCTTAACAGTTTCTTTCTCTTGCTTCTGAATAGGTGCTGTTATAGAACAGTSAGAGTAAGAAACCAGACGCCAGGCCACGTGGATTGGGGAAGGATGCGCCTCATGTCACGGGGGTCTGGGAGCCTGAGGGGCCGCTTGTTCCCTGCCCCAGCATGGACAGTCCTGGGGCGCTCGGGTTCCTAACTCGGCCATCTCCAAACGCTGACTGCTGCGGAAAGGCCTGAGCRTGATCCCGTGGGTGCTGCTCCTGCCAGGCGTCAGTGGCAATTACCGGGGGGCTCAGGGAACGGGCAATTCCCCTCTGTTGTCTGGGGTTGGGARTTACCGGAAAGCTCTGGGAACAAGCGCCTCCCGCCCTGGGTCTGGGGGCTGGAAATGACGAGGAAGGCAACGGGCACCCCCTCCCCTCCGGGTCAGGGCTCCGGCACTTGTCGGAGGGGGCTCAGGGAACGAGCCCATCCCCCCCTCCGGTGTTTGGGAACGAGCTCCCCCCGCCTTGGGGCCGGGAATCACCGGGGGCGCTCAGGGAACGGGCCCATGCCCGAGTGGCGGGGGTGTTTCCGCCGGTSTGCGGCCGGTGCCCGTCCCTCGGGGAGGCGGAACCGCCGTGTCCGTCCCCCCCGCCCCCGCCCGCAGCGGACGCGGCCCCGGCAGCGGTTGCCACGTCCCGGGCCCGGGCGGGGCGGGGCGGCGGCCGCGTCGAGC